TATGTTCTCCCTCATATTCGGACATTAGATCAAGGGCAAACACAACAAGGGGACTGGACTTTGAGCACATGATAAAAGTGAGAGCACACAAGGAAGGTATGAGGATAGGTAAGACACCTAAAAAACTAGATAGCATTTGTTGCCCTCAACGCAGAGAAATTAAAGCAGATACTTTAAAGCAACTGAGGACAACAGGAGAAGGGGACCAGGAACTAGAGAAAAGGTTAGTTCAAGAATTAACTTAGCAGGTAACACACATGCACAGGAAATCAATGCGAGTCAACTCCCTGTATAGCTATCTTTATCTCAACTAGCAAAAACCCTTGGTCCTCCCTATTATTGCCTTCAACAAAATTAGAGATAAGGGCAAAATAGTTTCTGCTGGGTAGTGAGGGGGTGGGGGGGAAGAGGGAGGGGGCTGGGGGAGGGGCAAGGGAGGGGGTGGGGAAAGGGGGGAGAAATGACCCAAACATTGCATGCACATATGAATAAAATAAAAATTAAAAAAAAATTCAAACTTATATTCTTAATAAGTCATTCACTAATTTTTGTATAAAACTTTTTAAAAAAAGTAAACACATAACAAGAATACTAAACAATAATAAGCACTGACCTTTGAGAAAGCTTGTCAGATAGTTTCTCAAGGAACTGCATGACAGTCTCTAAAAGTGAAACCCAAAGAAAAATCTCTCTTCAATGACATGAAGTAAAGTGAACACAAAGATGTGACCATCATCACCACATGTTCCAAGTCTCCCTCAAAGTCACCATGCTCAAAGGGAAGGGCACAGCTGACATATATAGGTGCATAGGTATCTCTAGGTGATGGCAATCTCTTAATAGAAAAATAAGCTGAACTGCCAAGTAACAACCCAGTGAACCCCAAGTTAAAAGCAGTAATGGGAGGCTAGAGGAAAAAAAAAATCCCAAATGTCTAACACATGCATGAGGGAAGATAAATATCTTAGGTGCATTTAATTTTTTTCCTAAGTTTAAAAAGATAGTTAGACCCTGGTTTAATTCTAAAATTCAGTATAGTTCAGAATATGACTTACTAAAAATTAAATTTTAGAAACTGATGTTTTCCTGGGTAACTATTTTTATTGTTCACAAACAACCATGAATCATCTATTCAGAATCAATACCAAAAGAAACCAGAGCAAAATTAGAACTTTTAGAATTTTAAGTTTTAATAGAATTTTAAGTGCTTATGAAAATACTTCAGCAATAATATTACAATTTATAAATCCAGAAAGGCGAGGCAGAACAATGACGGTTATTTCCCAGGAGATGAAATGTTTCATGTATACTTTTTATCTAGCACTTTGACAGTGACTTGTGTGTAAGCTTCCATGTGTGCTTCGGTTTGCCACAAACACTGGTTTTATATCTTCCAGATGATCTTTATATGGTTTAAGTTTCTTGCCCTCTCTTTAAAATTATCTCCTTTCTGAGTGAAATGAAAGGCTAAGAAAAGAAGGGAGGTTAACATCAACCTAAACCACGAAGCCACAGGGATTCTTGCCACTGCTGATTCTGAACAGCTCCCGGATAGACACAGCCTTGTGTGCCATGTCAAATGGTGCCAGGAACTGCAAAGAGACTACTATGTAGTCACATATGAATTTCCTTCAGGATATCATACGAGCTGCCACACAGAACTATTCGCAACTAAATCTCTGAACATATGCTTTTGATTCTTGATAACCATGTTTTATTCACATTCACCCACTTTATTTTTCTAGTCAGATGTGAAGAATCTGCCTCAGCTAATCGACCTGGAAAAGTCATATTAAAAAGGATGACCGTGAAATCTCCTGAAAATAAATAGTCATTTCCTAATTCACTGTCGTGTGAATGTCCATCTAAATCTCGCCTGCCACTCTCTCGCTGACCCTCTTTCTGAGAAGACTTGCCATTCCTTCACTGGGCAGCTCAAGTTTCACCTTGCTCATGAAACAGCAGCCATTTAACATCTGAGAAGCTTCCCGACTTCTACAGTCCTACGGCATTGTTTTGTATTGCTGCTCTTTTGGCACTGAAGCTATGCCAACCTGTGTAATATATAACTTAACATGGATATGTCTGGGCTCAACTCAACTGTAAATCCCTCAAGAACACAGTTCACTCCAAATGTCACCACACTAGTCACTTAGTACACAGGGTGATTTACCACGAATGGGTTTCACTACTGTGGTCCTAATGAATGCCAATAAACTTCGGTTGGGCCAATGTCAGTCCCCCATCCTTTTCACAGAAACCCACCCACAGCCCTTCTTAGGCCCTTTGTCTTTTTTGGAGGGGTGGGGTGGGAGGAGGGACCTCCCAGGAGCACACACCTGCTCACTTTCCCTCTTCATCAGTGACCACCACTTCTCAGGGCCATTAGTGGCCTTTCTCTACAGCCCAACCCCTTATTCTCCAAGAACCTCAGAGCTCAGTCTCTGGACTTGTTCTTTACATTTACTCCCTGACAACCTAATCCAGTCTCAGGACTAAATGAAGAGTCAAACTTACATCTCTGGCTTGGAACTCTCTCAGCTCCACAGCTGTATTACTAATTGCTCAACATCTCCACTTGGATGTCCACTGAATCTTAACCTAAACTGGAACCATACAAACTTCCTGGTCTGTCCCATCTGAGTTAAGAGCAATTCACAGTCTTTCTGGCTGCTTTGGTCAAAATCTTGGGCTTTCTCCTCAAAATACTAAATATCCACCTGACCAGCTGCACTGTTGCCACCCTGGTCAAAATGCCTTTGTTTCTCATCATGACTGTCCAAAAGGCCTCTCCTCACCGTCACCCTGCTGTAGGCTGCTCTCCGTGTTGATCAGCAGCACAGCTTATCATAGAATTCAAGTCTGATCTCTCTGCCCCAAACCCTCCAATCCCTCTCATCTCCCTCAAATCAAGCAGCCCAACACTTCTGTTTTCACTTCTTCCCACTCTGCCCTTACTGACTCCACTGTGTCCTCTCTGCTTCTCAAATATGTCAGGCACTTTTCTGCATCAAGACCATGGCATCTGCTTGTGCCTCCATCTGGAACCTTCTCCCTGATGGCTCCAGACTCATTCTTGCACCTTCGCAGGCCTGTGATCACTCACTCTCTGTGACAGTTTACAACTGCAGCACTACTCCACCCTCACAAGCCACATCCCCTCCCCGTTCCATCTCTGCCACAGCTTACACTAGCTGGGGAACACACTACACACCTGAGCCACTTACTCTGCTCTTCTGGCTTCCCTCCCAAGAATGCAAAGTGCCTAAAGCAAGCATTCCCATCTGCTTTCCGCACCAATGTATGTCCAGGGCCTGGAAGAATGTCTGGTATACAGCAGGTACTCAGTTATCTTACTCAATGAATGAAAAAAAGGATGCTAAAGGTGGAAACGAGGGAGCACTAGCTCCCAAGGCCTATGGAAACTGTTTGTTTAGATCATGGGTGTGGATCCCAGCTCTGCCACATTCGGCAATATACCCTAACCTGAGATTCCTTATCTATGGCACGCATACCTGCTTCACAGGTCTGTAGAAGAATTAATGGAAATAAAGGAAGAGTAAGCACTAAGAATATTATAATATTAGAATTTTGTATAATAATATAAAAATAATCAGAGTATTATAATAAAACTGGTGTTAATGGTGACTATAGAAAAACACAAAAATTTTAAAAAGATATATGCTATCTGAGCGTGGTGGTGTACACCTATAATCCCAGTTACTCAGAAGGAAAAGGCAAGAGAATCACCAGTTTGAACACAGTCTGGGCAAAGTTAGCAAGACCCTGTCTCAAAAACAAAATACAAACAAAAGGGCTGGAGTGTGTCTCAAGTGGTCTTGCCTACCAGGCTCGAGGTCCTGGGTTCAATCCCCAGTACCATTAAAAAAAAAAAAAGACATACACAACACATAATGAGCACATAACATCTGAAGAGCTAAATTATATGAAACAAACTGCAAGTGCTAGGTTGGGGGTGAGGGTGCAGCTCAGTGGGAAAGCACTTGTCCAGCATGTACAATGCTAGATTCCATCTCCAGCATGGCAAAACTTTGTTTTAAAGGCTCAAGGACAAAGTTGACCAAGAAAGTGAAAAAGCTCAAAGGCTTCATGAACAAGGTGGGATTGGAGCTGAGCACTGAGAAAGTGGAAGCATAAGCAAAGGCACCCAGGCCAGAGTAAACGTGACATGGCAGGCCTATGGCCTGGCAGAGCCTTGATGGATCAAAGAAAATGGTTGTGTATGAGAGAATGAGAAATAAGACTGGGTAGGCTGAAAAGAAGTCTGGGGAAGATGACAACATGCTAGAGAAAGAAAGGACAAACTGGAAGGAACAAAGCCAGGATGGAAGGATATGACCTTCTCCTCACAGGTTCCTTCCCCGTGTTCTCTCTTCCCATGAAGGTCCCCTCCAGGTACATGACCAAAAATCCTACACTGCCTCCTCCTCCTCCCACATCAGCAGAACTAAGTCTTGTCACTTCAACCTTTGGAATCTAAAAAGCTCCAACATTCCCACTACCCTAATCCTGACTCACCGGCTAAATTAGAACTGTAATTTTGAAATGCCTTTGAAAAGGATTATATACATTTATACCATCATCGTAGACATCGTGAATCATAAGGATCTCAGCATAGCACGGGGCAAGGTTATTATAAACCCAAAGAAAGACACCTCCCCTCCCACCTACCACACACCTTCCCATGTAAGACTCGTCCCTAAAAGGCAGGCTACAGGTCTCTGTGTTTTTATATGACCTCACCTTCAATTAACCTTGACCTCTGTAAAAACACTGCTATTTCATTCTCTCACCCTGATTCCAACCAATCACTAGACTGAGCACAGCAACTAACTGAGAATGAAAAATAATTTAAATGAGCATCAAAGGAAAATTTAGGTATGATTTACTCTAAATATGCACACAAAATAAAATACCTTGGCTGGACAGAATATATGCCAAATTATTAGCTCTATTTAAAGACCATTCATCTCAGTAAATGGTTCTCTGAATGTATTAAAAACAAAACAGTGCTGTGTATGGGTGGTATGTGCCTATAACTCCACCACTGGGAAGACTGAAGCAGGAGGATCGCAATCAAAGGCCAGCCTGAGACACACAGTAAGTTCAGGGCCAGTCTGTAGTACATAGCAAGTTTACAGCCATACTGGACTAACTAGTAAAAGACTGTCTCTAAACAATCAAAATAAAACCCCACTCTTTTCAGGACTTCAAGACAGGAGGCATAGCTCAGTGGTCTCTAGCACACCTGCCTAACAAGCATGCATGTGGTCCTGAGTCGATTCCCCAGCACAACCAAAAATAAATAAATAAATAAAATAAATAAAGAGAAATTCAATTTCATAAAAACCCTATTTTGTTCTTAAAAAGCTAAATAGGCTTACCTGGATTTTGAGCTATTGTTCCTTGCAGGGCCCTGTGAGAAAATGTAGAATACCCTACTAACTTTGCCAGAAGATCTCTACTGCTGAGCAACTGTTCTAAACATTTCAGTTGACCAACATTGGGATAAAGAAAAATTTTATAAGCAGCTTCTCGAACCTATATTTAAAAAGTAAAAGAAAAAAGGTAAGAGATATAAATGCCATGACACAAAGTCCTATGCAACAATAACACAGGCTAGCTCTCACCACTTTGTCGTAGACAATAAGAATCAAAATTAAAATCAAGTAATGGCTTACATAGAGTCACAGGATCCAATAGCACACCTGAGTGGAACCCTAGGGGACTCTTCCAGGATCTGGTGGGACTAACTTTTACACGATGCTTTTGTGTCTATGCCAGAAAGCACCTTTAAAGTAAAGACTTCATGCATGAAAAATCTCAGTAATCTAGAAGGTCAATCATGGATGTTATTTATCAAATTCTAAAAAGGAGTTCTTTATGAGACATGAATAATTAAACCATCTTATTATTCAACGAATTTATGGCATTAATTATCCCACAAGTTCAATTTTTAGGGCTTAGTAACACTAAAAGATTAGAAGGATATTATAGTAGTTCCAATAAATTCCGTGTGAAAAAAGAAGCAAGACATGTTACTTAGTGTGCTTGAACGGGAGCTACACAGTAGAGCACGCAAGGCACATACCAAGTCATCTGGGGCTTCTGCGTGGAGACCATCAATCACCACATGCTCCCCATCCCGTGCAAAGCTGCGGGAGATATGCTCGGGCAAGAGACGCTTCTCAATCTTGTTTGGAAAGTTGGCTCCCATGAGAAAGGTGCTGCTCAGATCCAAGATTTCAACATTCAGGTCCACTGCTCTTCTACGCTACATGTGGGAGGGCTGAAGTTATTTAAAGGCATTGCAAGTTAATATTCTTCAAGTAACTTAATAGACAATTTGTAAAGGTAGGAAATCAACATATATGTTGATACATAACATTTAATACCCTGATCTGATATTTACTATCTCAACAAAAAGTTTACCGTTATGATTTTATAATGCTTCTAGATCTATTTTATTCCAGGTTATAAACCTAATCTTTGAAATTAGCAATGTA